AGTTATAACCCAGCATTTACTTTTTACGTTGCCTGATAACTGTTATGTAGGAGAAATATGTTTTCCGTCGCTAATAATAGTTATTTCCCAACATTTATTTTTTACGTTACTTGATAACAGTTATTTCCCAACGTTTATTTTTTACATTGCTTGATAACAGTTATTTCCCAACTTTTATTTTTATGTTGTTTGGTAACAGTTATTTCACTCCTCCTCTTTTATTTTCATCATCTTTATCTTCTTCTCCATCTTCGTTTTCGCAAATATTCTTATCTTACAACCTTTATCAGACAACCTATAAAATAAACGTTGGGCAATAACTGTTATCAAACAACGGAAATATAACGTTGGGTCATAACTATTATCGGCGTAATAAAAAATATTTTTCACCTAATAACTGTTTTGAAACAACGTTTTCATTAAATTTCAGAATTCGGGTAACGTTTTCAATTTGTAAATTCGAGATAACAGGTATTTTTGGTCCCTGATCAAATATGAAAAAAATTAAAATACAATAATCCATAAAAAGGAATTCTTAGAAAATATGTGTGTTAGTCGTTAATTTCCTACATACATATGTATATGCACACTCACACAACCTTAGTTAGTCTTCCACTAAGCATATTTAAAGAAATTAATTACATGGATTAGTAAATATTGTAATACATATTGGCTGACTTTGAAACCACTGTTATTATTATTTTCATGTATGTACATATGTGTGTATATGTGTATATGTATTGTTTGCTCATAGTTCATAAAAATGCTACATACATACATAAGTTCCCTTCTAACCCAGGCTTATTCGCATATTAGTCCTTAGATGCTTCCAAAGATATTTATACATACATACATACATATTCCGAACTTACCCTTAGTAATTTTAGCAAGTAGAAAAAATTATAAATTTATTTATCATATGTAGTATACGAACACACACATACTTATCGATGCTATGATTACATACATAACTTAGCCAATTTAGAGATTTAACAACTCATAATTGATAATATTAAAATTTATACTTACACACTTGCATACATACATAGTTCATACATACATACATACATACCTAAACACACATTTTAAGCGCATGTATACTCGCGTATGTACATACATATGTACATAACTATGTATGTAGTATAAATGTATATGCAGCATACATGCGCATAAACATAATCATGCACATTCGAAATAAATAGTAAAAACATATCTTAAGAGGCTTTAAAATATATACTTTATACATACAAAACACATGTATGTAGTTATCTATTTAAATTAAAATACTTAATTGCAAACACAAGCGTGTGCAGACAGACATACATACATACATATGTATATTATGTTAGTATAAACGAATTAGTAGTTTAATGAAATCCGTAGTCTATAAATAAATGAATTAACTTATTGTCATTATTATTGATATCTTTAATGTCGAACAAAGTTAAATTATTATTGATGCTATTATACAATCGAACCGGAATATACATATATTATACAGGGTGTCCTAGACCACCCGTCCACCCCCTCTAAAAAGGAGGGAATTTTTTTTTTGTTTTAAACCGCAAAAATGTTACCGAATAAATCAGGGATGCTGTATCCTTCGATGGTACTATCGTCTTCCGATTTCGACCGGAAGTGGGTTAAACTGACCGGAAGTAAATTTTTTTTTCAAATTAGATATGCTTGGTTTTAGTACTGATTCGGATTCTAAGGATAAATTCAATTTCTAAAAGGCTTTCGAACTTTAACTCGTCCCGGAAGTTGCATATTTTTGTCCACAGAATACGAGCCTTTAGTAAAAATATACATTGATGTGTAATTAAAAAAAATTTAACTTCCGGTTAGTTTTACCCACTTCCGGTCCAAACCGGAAACAAGTTTCAGACAAAATGTATGTAATTTTGTGTAGAAGTCCAGGACGAGTTGAAGTTCGAAGGTCATTTAAGGGTTGAAAACAGCGCTTCGGGGAAAATTTTCGTATTTGTATCCTTACAATCCGAATCTGCACTAAAAACATGCATATCCAATTTGAAAAAATTTACTTCCGGTCAGTTTAACCCACTTCCGGTCGAAATTGGTCGAAACCGGAAGTCGATAATACCATTGAAGGATAGAGCATCCCCGATTTAGAAGGTAAAATTTTTGAGGTTTTCAATAAGACATTTCCCTCTATTTTTTAGGTGGTGGACTAGGTGGACTAGGACACTCTGTATATACATAAATGCACACAATACTTACATAAATACAAACATACATACATGCATACGGATACGATCGAGCATATTGTATTATCGAATGTATTTATTTACAATTAAATTTTATTTAACCGACTGATAGATTAACCGCAAAAATTAGCATGAAATTTAATTGATTGTTGAAAGTTGTAATTTAAATTGATATAAAGAAAGAAAAACGTATAAATATTTAAATAAATATACATACATACATACTTAACTAACCCATGTCTCTCTCTATGTGCGAATATTAAAGAAATTCAAATAAAGTAACTAAAAATTTAAGACTTTCGCATTGTCCTATTTAATGAGTCCTTAATATATAGTTTTTTTTTTTGTGGTCAGAACCAGGCACAAAACAGCGCATGGAGAAAACAGCACTCATAATACTTGTCGTTCATTGTATTAGTTTTGCAAAATTTTCAACCTCTTGGTAAAAGCTTCTAGTTTCGCTCCTACAGCAGAGGGACCAAGTATTTTATGTAATTTTTGCTTGAACCTACATCGATACATATCGTCACCTGAAATGCAAAAAGACGTAACAAACACCATCGCTGAAACGCAAAAAGTCGTAACTAATAAAAAATTCAAAATTCTCTTTTTGATTTATATGATGGATGGAAAAGACTCAGAGTCAATCACTAATTATTATATTAAGATAAAAATTTTTCGAGTCACCTATAATTATTGCTCAAGGACTTATATTATAATAGCCCTTTCAAAATAATTATGTGTGAGAAAAATTTTTTAAGTCATCGATAACTATTATTTTAAGACGTAAATAATAAAAGTCTTTTCATAATAATTATCAGCGAGATAAATATTTTTAAGGCTTCAAAGACTTTTATTTTGTGACTGATATTATAGAAGTCTATTCATAATAATTATGAGTGCGAAAAAATTTTTCAAGTCTTAAAAACATATAAAAAAAAATTAAATATTAGTCACGGCTTTTTCCATTTCAGTTGCGATATTGTTATGTCTTTTTGCATTCCAGGTGACAATATGTAGCATCTCGATATTCAATTTCAGTTGCGCCTAAAATATGCTACATAATATATTGTATTTGTCTAAGATTTGGCGTATTGTATTACATATATTCATTCACATTCATTCTTGCCTTTAAAACTTTCAGTCCTTAATGTTATGTTAACATGTTTAAACTAATTAAAAACTAAACTAGATGCAGAGAAATGCAGCAATTTTGAGTAAGGATCATGCAAATTAATGTTAAATGTCCCCCTGAAGAAGACCACAATAAACGTTCGAAACGTCGGCAAAAAATGCATTTTTCTAAGCATCGGACTGCATACCCCAAAACAACACTTGAAACAGATATAGGTATTTGATTTCTAAGTAAAATTTTAGAGAATCATGCAGCCACATCATTTTTCACATACTTTTAATAAAATTCATGCGACTATGCCACACAAATATGATTTTTCGTATGAATGCAATTCATCTGGCAATCGAAAAACAAAAATTCAAATAAAGACAGAAATTAAAATAAAAAAATAGCAATTTGATTCACTTTAATACAGTAATTTCAATTGTAATTTGTATTCAATTTTACCCCAAACAAATTAAAAGCTTAAAATTTTGCGTGTGCAAATACAAATGCTGAGGATCAAAAGAAAAGAGAAAAAGCAATAGATGACACGGAGAGTAATCGTTTCTAAGATTCTAGGTAAATCAAGTGTAAGTCTTGCATAACCGCGTTTGAACTCATGCGTTTTCGACTTTTTATTATAGAAAATATAGTTTGTTTCTTTTCGATTTCATTATTAAGAATAGGGAGTTGCACTACCCCTGTTGTTGTCGTTGTTGTAGCGACTACAACAACCCCGCCCAGATCGGTTGGTATCTCAGTCGTTGTCGTCAAGTTCCACTAACGGCAGCCCTAGGAAGCGTGCAGCTTCTATTGGGTTGGTCCACAAGGACAAAGCCGTTAGGGTTGTCGGGTTTTCCGGGCATGCGAAGAGATGTTTCGAGTCATGTGGGGTCTCTCCGCATGCCGGACACTCATTTGGCACATCCTCATTCAATCTACTGAACTTCTGAGATACTTCGCCGACCTAAACGGGGTTAGATCGCCGAAACAACAGTCCTTGGTCGGGTAATACCCGAGTCATTCCGGTACGTAGAACCGGCTGTGGTGGGAATGTAGAACCGGCTGTCGTGGGAATGATCTAACCCTACCCCTCGTTTTACCTCCTTGCCACAAATATATTCCACTTTCTGAACAAGCGAAGTCTCAAAAATTAAATATTGCTGGCGTAACATTATGCGCTCATTTAATAATATTTAAATGTACCTATAATAGCTCAACCAGCTCATGTTAACGAAAACTCTCCACCGCATGACGCTGACGTAGCCGTTGCGCTCCGAAGTTGGAAGGGCGCTCCGTCGGTGGCTGGTTGAGCTTTTCCTCTTTCACTAAAGTAACAAATAATCTACATATCTACAAATAAGCAAAAAAAATAACAAATCTTGAATAAAACAAAAATTACCTGGTCCGCTTCTTACTGTACCGCCATAAAACATTTACTAAAAGTTTTGGAGAATTCTGCAGTAACAGTCCTTGGCAAATAATGCATCTCTTTGCGGTAAGCGACAGTCGTGCTCTCAACAAGTCTCGTAATCGGCGATGTATTTAGTGAAATATTAGTGGTAATGTTTCATGCGTGAATATGTACGTTGGTGAATTAGATTTCATAGCCGAAAAACGTATTTTTTTCTAAATTTCACAGTTACATCGTGAGGCACATTGTTCATATGAGTTGTTATAACAACTGCTGCTTTATTATTTAAACTATTTTAAACACAACGCCATGAATAATAAGTAATTTAATGCATTAAGAACTATCTTCACTATCTCCGAAAATGTCGGCTTGCTGATAACGTACCTGTGTCTTCTGCCGAATTGAAATCTTACGCTTGTCAGCGTTGGAAAGTGCTACTCTACCCGAAGGGGCCTCTGCACAACCCAAACCTTTTTTACCTTCATTTGATGAGACTTTGATCTAAGCAGAAACAAAATTACAATTAGTAAGTGCAGGTGATTTAAAATTGCAACAAAAACGCACCGGTTCTAAGAGGGCTGAGCCATCATTAGCCTTGCCCAGAGTTTCGCCCTTATTCCAACCAAGTTTAGAGAGCATTTTGAAACCTTTATTCTCGGAAGATATCTCACTAAAAACAGTTAGGAAGAGATTTAGAAAAAAATTTAGATTTAAAAAATGCAAATTAAAACAAATGTTGCGAAGATGTGCCTACGTATTAATCGAAGCTGTTTGCGTTTTCTCGCCATCAGTTGAGCTGCCAATTTGTATGCGTCTTGTTGCGGCACGATCATTATAGCTGCCCGTATTTTGTTTAGCCTCTACAAATTCTGAAACGATCGAAGATATATGTACATTCGATTTAATATATATATTTAAGCCTGTATAATCTTCACGCACTCTCCTTCTCCAAGCCATACTTCTTCTGCAGCATCTTCAACTGCTCGCGATGGGATAGCACAATTGTATTGCCAGGAGTGACGTTACTTTCACGTGGCGACTCGATCAGCAAACCCGGCTCACACAAGCCACATGTGCTGTTGCCTTCATGCACGTGGCATAATAGCTTCGTTTGGCCGATTTGTAGAACGCTACCATGCACCAAATCATACTCGGAGCTCTCTCGTTTGGAGGCAGACATGCGTACGCCATTCAATACGGTGCCATTGCGTGAACCCAAATCGATGCATTTGTAAACGGCCTCTTTGTGGTCGTAGTGAAATTTCATGTGTAGCTAAGAGGTAAAACAAATATTTAATTGATTGAAGAATCACTTTTCATGGCAAATTTGCTCACCTTGGACACATTCACGTCCGGTATTACGACATCATGATTGCCTTCACGCCCCAAACTGCCACCTTTGTAGGTAATGAGGCTAAGATTACCAACCTTCAGGCCTTCTAAATTACTTTCCTGCACAATAACGCGCAGCGAGGGCGGATACTTTTTGGCTATATCTAAAAAGCAGCAAGGCAAAATATTTGATATTATATTAAGAATTAGATTATATAACAATGGAAATGAGATTTTATTGCATTAGATTTGGACTTAAACGCGAATTTCTTTTCCTAACATTCATAGAGGGATTAAAAATAGCACTAAACAAACCTTGTAAGCGACCACCGCCAGAAAAGGTCGCAGCGCTCTTGCCCTCCTTTCCACTAGCCCATTTGCTATCCTCACTATCGATATCGCTCTCACTGCTGCTACAGTCAGTTAATTCACCGTCCTCAATATCGCAGGACTTATTACGTGCGCGCTTAGTTGATGCCGATTTCTTATCATAGCTCTCTCCGCTCTCGCTGTCAGACGAAGCAGACGATGAGCGCGCATGCTTACGAGAACGCTTACGTTTTTTCGCCTTATGCTTGCGTTTCGGCGATTTAACACTCTTTGTCTCTTTAAGACTTTTGGATTTCTTCTTTTTGCGCCATGCACGTTCCTCCTCCTGCTCCTTACGACGCTCCTCTTTGATTTTGCGCAATCGCTCCAGATCGGTTATAACGCCACCAAACTCATCGAACTCGACCATCTCGTCCACATCAATATCATCCTGCAACAGTAGAAAAGAAATCCGCGTTTTCATCGACATTTCACGCTACCAAAGCTTACCTAATGCATTGCTACGCATTCGGTTTATGTTAAGATTTGAAAAACGATTTAAAAGTGAATTATTTACATAATTCGTTAACACATCATTATCGTTGGCGGTGTTGCACTGTAAAAAGGAGAAAATATACAAAGCTTACAAAATATTATACATTTTTTTTTTGCATGATGATTTCTGCTAGTATAGTAGAAAAGTAGTAGACGAGCAGTTAACTTTACTTTGATTTGGTTGCTCTCAAACCCATTGTAGATCGTTGGTGGAGGCGCATTAGTTGAGTATTAAACAGTTAAAGAGTTTGTTTTTGTAATCCGAATAAGTGNGGCATAGCTGTCCGGTCAGGCGATGTCGAGCTCGAATTATTTAACGTGTATATACCCCCTATCACCTGCTGCCCGGCAGGATATCACCCTGACATAGGTGCGCTACTCAGAGGTGAAAACCGAATGGTAGTAGGTGACTTCAACGCGCACCGCGATCTTAGACGATTCGACATTCTGCATCATGAACGACGACGCCCCCACCAGGACTGTGGGTAGCTGCAGCAGCGCGCCAGACCTAACAATTGCTAGCGCTAGTCTGATAAATAGCATATCATGGCGACCTATGCTAACACTAGCATCAGACCATCTGCCCATAATCATCTCGATCAATAAGTTCACCGACTTTGCACTCGCGGACCACCGAACCTACACCAACTTCAACAAAGCTGATTGGAACGGCTTCGCGGAAGTTACCGAGAGCAGCTTCGCCGCCCTTCCCACAAACACAGATGTACATGCTGGCTAACGCCAGTTCCGCAGAGTAGTCACTGCCACAGCGGCTCGCTTCAAACCATACGGACGCATCGCGGAAGTCGGTCCGAATTTCCCGGCTGAAGCAGCTGTACTAACAATTCAGCGTGACCACCTACGCCAGGTCGATCCCGGGGATCCTCGCTTGAAGGACCTTAATTTGGAGATTCGGCAACTGGTAAATCAGCACAAGCGGAAAAAGTGGGAAGAGCACTTGAAGGCCTGTAACTTCACGTATGGTGTGAGTATGCTCTGGTCAACCATGAGGTCCTTGTCCAACCCGACGAAGCGTGATGACAATGTGGAAATGTCATTCGAAGGTCGCGCTTCGTCGGACCAGAAGAAATACGCGAGCTACTTTAGCCGGAAATTCAGACTGCGTCCTTCGGTAGACAAGGCCAAACGTCGAGTGACCAGTAGATTGCACAAACTGCCTAAAAACAGAGCACCACTTGCTTTCACCAGCGGCGAAGTGAAGGGGGTCATCGGGAAGGCAAAAGCCATTAGACCCGACGGAGTCTATATGCTGATGCTGAAACATTTGGGGCCCGCGGGAGTCGCATACCTAACGGAGGTCCTCAACCTGTCAATGGCCACTCTCATCATTCCTGATGTGTGGAAATCAGGAAGACTGGTCCAACTGCTGAAACCGGGGAAGCCCGCCGACAAAGAAGTCTTATATCGCCCGATAACGCTCCTTTTCCCGGTCACAAAGACACTAGAGGCCCTGCTACACCCGTACTTCAGCTACCACCTTGCCTAACGGTTCTAAATTATGCAGCACCAGTTTGGTCGCCGGGGACTAGTTGGACGCAGTGGACGAAGCTACAGACTTGTCAGGACGCCGCACTCCGGACAGCGACTGGGTGACTGATGTCACCTGAGCACCACCTACACGGCGAGACCAAACGGCTCCCAGTAAAAGAGCACTAAAAAATGCTTTCCAAGCAGTTTCTGGTGGGCTGCCGCAGAAGTGAACACCTCAGCAGGCCACTGCTGGAGGAGGAGCCTCCGCCCAGGCACATCAGGAGGCACCTTTTCGTGTACAAGGACGCAGTCCAGAAATACATAGGCCAAACACTGGACCCGACAACGTACAGGCGAGCGGTCAACGACATTCATAGGGAGTCGGTCACCTCCTTCCTCGACTCCCGACCTATGAATTCCGTGATCGGAGCCCAATCACAACTTATAGAAGAGACGCAGCTTCAACTGCCAAGAGAGACCCGCGTTACCCTGGCTCAGTTACGGCCTGGATATTGTAGCCGCCTCAACAGCTTCCTGTCCATACTCGACCCCAATATCCTCAATGAGTGCCCGGAATTCGGAGACTCCCCGCCTGACACCAACCATCTCTTCACATGACAGCTCAATCCTACTCAACCCCACTCCCTTTGGTCCGACCCTATTGAAACAGCACGTTTGCTGGGCCTACCGTTAGTTGAGCTTGACGACAATAATTGAAGGCTGAACTGAAATAGGCGGGGCTTAGGTCTACCGCTACAACAACAACGATAAGGTAGGGGACGACGGTGATAATTGGTCACGATTAAGATTTAGATTGATATTAAGATAATAATACCGTTTTCAGATGTGCACTCTTCGTTTCATTTTCAAAACTGACTATGTTTAAAAAATTTAATTCAACTTGAATTACGGAAATTAGGATGTCAGACGAAAGAGGGTTAAGAATGTTTTAGTTTGAAAATATTTAGAAATAGGTTTCCACCTATTTGTAAAGTCGAATTAAATTAAATTATGCGCAAGTTATATGAAATATTAAAATATGGGTGGCGAACGTAAGAGTGGTAAGAAATCTTTAGTGTGCACATTTCGAATATTTTCGGGGTATTTTTTGATTAATCAGAATTATGATGAGCTTAGTCATGATTCAATAATAAAAGGTTTGTCAAAAAGCAGTTTTCTCGCTCTCTCTTGACATAATCGGCTCCCTTAGCCTTAGCCTTGTGTGTGGGTTCGTGTGTGTGTGCAAAGCTTTTGTAAGGGAGCTAAGGGAGTGTCAAAACTCTTAATGTCAATAATGAGCAAACCTTTAATTATTGAATCATGGAGCTTAGTCCCTTTTTTCTTTGACAACATGGTACTTCTTCTAAGGTGATAAACTGAAGACAAATGTGATAAAATGATAAATAAACCGGGTTTCCATACAAATTTAGCATTTCATCACATTTCTTGATAGTTTATAACTTTAGATGAATACCTCTAAGAACTTTCTTTGCTCTAACGACCAAAGATAACGAAAATTGTTTTTCTATTTTCACCGTAAAATTCACTGAGCATCAGTAAGATGTTTGCACATATACCAAGTATTCAAAAAGTAACCAATTTATTGTAAAAAATTACCAGCGAAGTATACGGGGGTATGTGTTACAAATTAAAAATGGTAAAATTTTGTTTAATTTTTACTTGTTTATTTAAAAACATCAGCTCAACATAAAAACTAGTCACAATTTAACAATAGTGTATTACTGTTCGATGTAGCCGGGAGTGCTGCTCATGCCGAACGAATGTGGTCTGGTGGTATTTTGTATTGAACAGAGCGTAATGGTATATCAAGAAAACTCGCGTGAAAGGATTTTAAACGATGCTTTATTACCTTGGGCCCGAGAACAAATTCGGTAAAACCCATTGGAAGTTTCAATAAGATTCCAAGCTTTATCTCTTCGCAACAATGCTACCATATTTACCGGACTTAAACCCAATAGACTTTTTTTCCCTGTGGTCCATTATCGAGGCCAAAGTATCAACCCGTTGAAGATTGCTTTTCGCCGCCACTGGGGCAAAATACCACCAGACCACATTTGTGCAGCCTGTGAAGCATTCACGGACTCGATGCTATTATCAATCTAATAAAATAGATACAACTAAAGTTCGTTTTTGTTTGTTGTTTCCAAAGGCTGGGTGTATGATATATTGTCGAGAATGAAAAATGACACAGAAGATGCCCCAACGCCAAACCAAATGTGACAAGAGATGACGCAATTCGTGCCAAAATACATCATAAAACTATATCATTTTTAAGTGGTAACTCTTGGAGCTTCAAGTAGTTGTGGCAGCGATGAATATTTTTTTTAATCTCAATAGGTCGGTTATTTATCAAGAAGTATGGTTTAAAACAAGATTAATAAAAGTTCCGTGCGATCTTACCAGCGTCTCAGCCAAAAGTTTTTACATGCTGCATTTTTGCCCATATTCTATCTTCATTAGTATGCTTTTCAACCCCTCAGTGTAATTCTAAGTGAAACCAATTATCTGCTTCGCAAAAGCTACATATGTCAAAGCGTTTTAAACATTGTTATCAGTTTTGATTCTCAGTTTGATTCAATGATCATCGAATCTCGTTGTAGTGTTCAACGGATTTCAAGTGTAATACCTCTGGCTCAGAGTGAAAATTTATAAGTCCATTTTTTATGAAAATTTAAATATTTATACAGGAAGCAAGGAAAATGAAAAAATGTATTGTTTCCTAAAAGACCGTTTCTGTTTGTTTTTATTTCTACCCATTCAAAAGAATACAAATCATGTTAATTATGGTTGTTATCAAAGTTTTGCAAAATATTTTAAGGAAATAAGTTTGGGAAGTTTTTTTTCTCTCCTGTAAATTAAAAAACAAATGGACTTAAAAAATATTCACTTTACGCTAGCGAAATGTAGTTTAACATTTTTCTAAAGTTAACTGCTCCTCATAAAGGTTTCTTTTCAGGTGATGTTAAAGTAAA